CACTCGTTCGTACATCGAGTGCGTGCAATCCGTCCTTGCGAATCGTCTCACATATTAACTGACCTGAATAAATAATAAAGACAAATGGCGAGGTTCAGTTTTAGCGTTGCCTTTCATTTATATTCTTCGATCGATTCTAATCCACGCGTGGCGGGTTAATGCAATCCGCGATTACGAATGCCTCCCTCGTACGATCTGCGAACTGTACAAATATATGCATTGATTCATAACGACGCCAGAAGAGAAAATATTTTCATTCGGTTGCTCTTGATAGAGATAATCGAGATCTTGCTCTAATTCTACTTTGAGCATCGTTGTTCCTGCAATACGAATTCCTAAAATAAAATTTCACCCTTAATATTCATTTTTATCGAAACATGTAAAACAGTTTTATACCGGATGGGCGAAAAATATTATATATAATAAATAAATCCGAAAAAATATGAAAAATTCGAGGGAGAGGCAGAATTTAAGACTGATCTATCTAGATTTATTTGCACGGGGGAGATCGAGGCGATATATTTTTATAAATGGATCCCGGGCGTCGGGTCAGATGCGCGCGCATCAGCGACAAATCGCGCGCGCCGATCTTCGAATTACACGCCTTTACGGTTTCAAATTATAGGCCAACGTGTTCTCTGACGGCAAACCGCAGCATAGCTCCACACGCGCGCGCGCCCGCCGAAGAAAAGATACAACACGAAATATATCACGTATCGGCAGTGATACACCCCGCGGCGAACGGGCGAAAATAAAATAGCACACTTATTCTCCGGCAGGGATCAGAGTCCTCAGCTATGCGTCGCTAGCGGCTCGAATGGCAGCGAAAGTACCAGCCCGACACATATTGCGGTAAAATTGAGGATAAAACGAGAGAGGCCGCGGCCGATGTTGCAGCTCGAATCGATGATAAATGATTACGGGATTGGTGGATCGAGAACTATCGCCTCTTTCAATAGTAAAGGATTCAGAGCGTGATTAACTGTGCCGCGCGTTATTGCGTTGGTACCTCATCTGGACCAAATAATTTCACTTTGATCCGCAGGATAGAGCAATTACCATTTTAAAAATTTAATTTAAAGATTTAAATGCTCTAGATATTCTTGGAGGATTCCACCGGCTGATAGAGATTCAAGATACTTTTTATTTTGCGATTAGGTGCTTGAGAACTGCAGGTATTTTATGGGCAACGTTGGTGGCCTCAGTTTGGCCCCCAACCGGTAAGATAAGGCCCAGATAGCTTCTATTGCCTTTTCAGACCTCTGTGTACGATGATTTATAGCAGACTTAAAATAACAATTTGATTGGTGGCACTGATCCTCTCTAATATAGCAGGTGGTTACCATTTTGGATTGGCAGTTTAGGCCAACGTTTAGGACCAACGACCCACTGTTTCATGCTTTAAATCCTGCTCTAGCAGACCTGGGGAGACCTGTTCATCCAACAAAAAATGAAACGATCTTCCTTGTTGAACTGAACCTACCCTAGCAGAGGGGTAGTATTTCACCCTGCCAGGTTGGAATCAACATACTGAACCCCACTGGTAGCCATCCTAAACCTTGCTCAAACAGACCTAAAGAGTTCCTAGGTGATTTATTATGAACGCCAATAGCGCAACTACCAAAGAATGAAACGATGCCCCTAGTTGAACTGATACTAAATCCTGCCGAAGCGAGCCTGGAATCTACTTCCATAATACTTCTGAGCACTTTGCTAAAAATCTGAAATCTGTCGAGCACGTCAAGAGTATCCTGTTCGTCGACCTGTCCATCTAACGAGTAAGCGATTTTCCTGGTCGATTAAACAACCCGTTAACAAAAAGCAGCGGCTGCGTCCGAGAATGTTACGCGGCGTTCGGAAGGAAAATCAAAAACTTTCTAGCCTGGCATGCGGCGCGCGGTAACGGAATCGGTCCAGTAAGAAATAAAGTCATTACAGATCGATGAGGACCGAACGACCCTGAATGAAATTATCGCCTGACGCTGATGAATATGAATTCGTCCTTCGCGACGCAAGAAATTGTAGACGCCGCAAGAGAGTTTTCTATAAATACGTTTTTACGACGGGCGTGTAACGTGGATGGTATTTATGAATTATAGATGACGTTGCGCGCGGCAGGGTGACAAAATTGTTTCCCATTAATCCCAGCCCACCGGGGCGTTCAATTTTCGCGCCTTTCTAGATCGCGAGCAGATTTACTCTCGTTTGTTGATATTGCAATTCCGACGGTCGCGTCGAATATTTCATCCGCACGAATAAATTATCGCGTCCGTCGGTACTCGGATGGGATAATCGAATTACGTGAGTCGGATGATATCATTCTCCCAACAGCCGTGGATGATGCGCGATCACGGACGCTCACGCATCTACCTTTGCTGAATCGTCTTCCCCGGCTCTCAATTAATAAGACCACACACGCTAGGCGTTCCTTCGGGAAGGTTAATTGCATTAGACGCACGATCTAGCTGGTTTAATTTGCGCATACTTATCTGCACGCGAGGTCCTCTGCTGGGAACGTTTTCTAAAACAACATAAACGTTGGATGCTGCTTCGACGGGAGTTCGCAATTCAGCTTGCCTCGACGCGAAAATATTCAGGACGTGAATAAATATTTATCAACGTGTAGAAAATTTAAGAATAGGGATCCATTACTATAATACATTACGCCAGAGAATAGTTGCCTCTACTACTAGCGCTGCTGGCGGAGAAACGATAAAATACTGTGTATATAGTAGTTGCATTTCATCGTTTCGCCGTTGGCGGCGCTGGTAGTAGAACAACTATTCTCTGGCTCCACGTAAATATGTCAGGATACATATATTTTCTTCTGGGAACATAGTGACTGCATAAAGAAGTTGTTTATGCCCCCCAAAAAATGTGGGCACGTTAATCTTTCCTTATCGGAATAAAAATGTCCTGTATCGTTTAAAAAAGAACTTGATTTATGGTCCACAACTTTTTATGCGAAAACTAGAAATACCGAAACCTGATGGATGCACAAGATATTTGAATATGTATTATGCTTATCGATATGGTAAATAAAGGATGACTTGAACAAGATACTTATTATTTAACGCCTAGACATATACATTTTTAAAAGAATATTAAAATAGAAAAATTCGGAAAGTAGATCGGGCCCTATTTAGAAGCCCGTTCGTATGCACCCTTTGATCGCTCGTTAATCGGTACACCCTATAGAGGCACCTGGCATCGGGTTAAGCGAGTCGAAGAGTATCTATATAAACGCGTAGGTGGAGGGGGGAACGGCCCCCGTTGGAGGCCTCGCCGGCACCGCAGAAAATCGTATTGGGGGACCGTTTGAAGCTAGACGGAGAAAATCACGCACGCAAAGCTGAAGAGGAAGAAGACGGACGACGGCGGAACGGAGATGGCGCTAGTTCAGTCGTGTCCGGAGGAGGAATCGCTCGTATGGGCCTGCTGGGTTGTATTAGCGGTAGTGATGGGACCGACTCGATGCTTATCGGTACGCAATTCTGTGAACGATTTGAATATCCTGTTTCACTTCGAGGCTACTTTCTTTCAAATGTCAGGGGACTGTTTACCACCAACAATTGTCGTTTCTCTTTATAAGGCCCACTAAATTTTAAATACTCGGGTATAGAAATACTTTATGTTCTGATCAGGCACCTTGATGTTCGTAGTATTCGAATGGTGGAGTTCTTTATGTCCGTCGTTCTACGAAGTAGCGATAAGAACGAAGTTCGAAGACCTAACAGGTTTTATCTAATCAGTAACGTCACTAATGAGCCAGACAATGGTTGTACCATGCGCACGACCAGAATAAAGTGGTTGAAACGATTAGAATGCTTGGAACGAGTTTATCTAATTCACTACAATGTGTTTCTATGGCTAACCTAAATATGTCCTTCCGTTCTTGGAACCATCCCTGAATGCTAATTCTCAAAATAAAAGAAATGCACTTTTCCATCTGAAACGATCTTCCTAGAAAATTGTTATGACATCGAACGAGGCAGAAAAAATAATCGATCAATCGACACCGTCCGCATGTTGTCTCCATCGCTAATCAATGGGCCTCTCTCTACCTGTCTGGCTTAACCTGCCATCCTCTTGCGGGGGCAACGCGGCGAAGAGACTAAAACAGGCAGGTAGGGAGCCGAGGAGACAGGCCGAGTAGGGAGAAAGACAGTGAAAGAGGCGAAGGAGAAGGGGCCCGGTTCCCCCAACGGTGCCCTCCGTCCGTGGCTCTCGGTCCCACCGATAGATGTCTCTCTTGCTCGCTGGGCCCCGGGACTAAAATTCAGGACAGAAAACCGTCCGGTTAGTTCGAGCCTGCTGGCAGAGAACGCGAGTTACTGACGATCGCGAGTCGATCTGGGCAAGGTGTGGCGGGTCCGTCCATAAGAGAGAGGAGGAGGGAAGAGAGCGGAGAAGATCGAGACCCGTCGAAACGGGCATTCGAAACGAGCGAGAAGGGGCCCCTCGACAAAGGACAGACGCAGCCTCGACGAGTGCTCGTCTTTCTCTCTCTCCTCGCTCGGCTGGAGGTGGCTTTCTCGCTCACTCACTCTCCCTTCGTCCGCGTTTCACTCGAGCTCTTCGCGGAGGATCTCCGCCGTGGAGTCAGTATCCCGTGATGGTTAGGTGCGCGCGAAACGACTCGCGCCGCGTCGTTGACAAGTGAACGCTCCTCCGCTCCCCGCCACCCCCATTTGGACGCTCGTTTCCGCGCATTTTTCGTGCAGAATTCGCGCCGACCCGTTGTCCCCCGAGCGGGCCCAACTCCCGATCGTCCGTCTCCCCGGGCCCCCTTCCCCCACCCCCCTCCCGCGAACGACACACGGCGGGTCCGTCAGACGACGCGCGCGACGACAGATACACCGCGAGCGTGGAAAAGTGCTCGGTGCTCGCGCAGCTGTCAGATCAACCGAGCTCGCCTCTTTATCGGTGGTGCGCGCCAGGTTTCGTGTGCATGTATACAACGAGGTGTGCGCAACACGTACAAGGCCCGCGTCGTACAACTTGTTCCTCCGCTCGGGCCCCGAACCGACGAGCCTGCGTGATACGAAGACCCGTTGAGTGCGCGCCCGTTGCTCAATTTCTACGAAAACCGCCGCTGGCGCTGAACATCCCGGACCCATTTCTTTGCGGTCAGTTTGTTTGTATTTTTTTTTTTTCATCTTCGATCTATACCGTCGGACCCGACGCGTTTCACGAGGGTGTATCGTTCGAGTCGAGACACGACGAGACGTACTGTATGAAATGTATTTGGGCAACAGGTTCTCGCGATGCCATAGGGTGTAGTAGAAGTAAGGGGCACACTCGAGAATTTATCGTGAAGAAACTACTCGATCGATTGCTTTCAAACTTGTCGCGTGTTATTGCTGACCATTAAAGAAACTCAGCGAATATTTTTATGTAAATATCATTGATAGTTTTTTTTAGAAAACGGTTGACAAATAAGTGCGCTGATGAAAATGTTTGTTTCACTTACGGAAGCAACACTTGGCAACATAAAAATGATAGAAAAGAGACTATTGGAGATGTCGCTATTATTTTAATGCCACGGATGAACGGAGTTAAATTTATAGTAATTATCTAAGTATAATTTGTGCCTTTGCTCGTCCAAATCAACGGTCTGCATGCGCCGAAGAGCAGTTGATTGCCCGTCGTTGCTCAATTTCTGCGAAAACCGCTGCGAGCGCTGAACATCCCAGGTCCATTTGTTGGCGGTCAGTTTCTTTGTATTTTTTTTTTTTTCCTAATTTAATCTTCTCTCTCATACTTGACTCGGGCATTGCACGAAGAAATACGCCGTGACTGATTTGTAACGTACGAAATATATTTGGATGAGACGATCGAATTTATAATACAGAAATTACCCGATCAACGTGATCAGTTTGAATAAAAACGAAAATAACATTATTTCATTATAAAATTTCCATTAGGGTAACTCGAGTAGCTTCATGTAACAAGTTGAATGCACTCAAATTGAGCATTTAAAAGCAATAAGATACTAATTACGTTTTTTTAATAGATTAAAGTGGAATTCCTTCGACGTGCTCTTTAATTACTTAATAAAATAATAAGTGTCCACGTATGTAAATTGGTTAGCATTAACAGCAATAGTAAATGTAGTAAAAAGTAAAATATTTTAATGGTACTTTCGACGATTCAGGAAAACTCGAAAGCAATTTGCTTTAATTTCCATGAAAGCCGTAACATCAAAAACATCGTTAAAAGATTCATTCCAACTTCTTTGAAAAAGATAATTAGTCGTTACTTATTCATTTAATGGAGTAGAAATAATCTCAACTTTTAGTGACTACGAAAATTCTGTAGGAGTTCAGAGATTGCATTGCCAAGTGGTTAATACATTTGGAAAATCGATAGATGTTATCGGAGGAACGCTTCGATAACTCGTGGCCAGGAGCTAGTCATGCAGCAACATGTAAATGTTTTGGAATAACATGAGCAGAGACGGGATCAAGTTCAACGTGTCTCTGTGAATTCGAATCCAGTCGATGCTCGAGTTTAGTGTCACTTGAATCTCGTGGTCTTGTATATAGAAATTGACAATTCTTTCGATGTGTTTGCAATACAGTTGAAATTTTTATCTAGACGAGAGGTTTGCTTGTCTCTAATTTGAAATAACGCGCTCTGCGCATGCGCCCTAGGCCAATTCCCCGATCAATTTTCTTGAAACGAGGAACGGCATGGAAAAATATTATTCCACATTTTCTTAATCGTCCACAAACTATGCGAATTAATTAACTTTCGATTTTATTTGAAAAGTTCGAATGTGTTCACAGCACTGAAATGCAGAGTTTAATTTATTGATAAAGCGATAAACATAGAGAGGTAAAAGAAATTCATGTCTAATTGCTGCCGTTTGGAGCGATGAAAGCAGATTTGAAAGTTGTAGTTTTCATCCGCGGAGGATGTAATTGTTGTGTTTAAGTGGGACTTAATAGAAACATTTCTACTAATTTATTTCGAGCCTCCTCAGTGAAGATAATATTAATCCAGCATCGACACTTACTGAATTAATATCACGTATCTTTACAACTACTTGAAAAAAACAATAAACCAAATTGTCATTTAATAGAAACGTTGAAATAATTGTGTTTTCGTAGCATTTAAAAGATCATAATATCCCTTTATGAAGACATTTCCTACAACAAGTAATTAATGTCGTAGTTAATTCATGATTTTTGATCGTAAAACGCAAAATAAATGCTGGTATATATAATGTACCGAATGATTATAGCTAAAAGACTGTTAATAAATAGTCGCATGTGTTATGGTGTGCAAATAGCCGAACCGTTGCAATTTATTATAAAAAGAAGCATAACTCTTCCTGCGAACGATGTTGTGTCTGTAGGTGAAACGAACCTATTACATATTTACGGCTACACGCGAGCGTATGAGATTTCGAAACGCGTGTAATGCATAAATAAAGAGAACAAACCTATACCGTAAGACCAAACGTACCGTACCAAGATTTGCATACTTCGACTACGACTAAAAATCAACGACATCGAAAGTTAGGGACCGTCTACGGTTAAAATGCAGTTAACTAACCACTAAACAGTTTAAAACCGAAATATAAAATATTTTCCTTTGTTTTATACCCCTAATTTTTAATAAAAAAAAAAACACTTTATCAGACATGATAAATACAGTTTACAGGTCCATGGAAAGTCCACTTGGATAATTGTATTAAATATCACTTTAACTCTAATGTATTCTCATTATTTTGCACAATGAAAGTTGTTTAAGCTGTAAAGCGATGATTCTCAGTTTCCAAATTCTCTTTGAATTAAAACAGAATAACACTAAACGTTCATTGATCATCTTGATCTTGTTACGAAAAATTCCTTAGACGTTATATAAATAAAATAATTATGTAGTTCAAGGTAAATTTAAAGTTTCAGTAACTTGTATTCGACTGTGCACCGAAGCTACTTTACATTGATGAGAAGCGCATTAGCGAGCAAGATAATTAGTAGCTCTTCGTACGAGAGTGACATTGATCTTCGTGTGATTGCTTCCGGTCCTGGAATATTTTCGATTCAGGCACACCATCGACGCAGGATCGGTGGGAACCGATTCCTCGCAAGACGGATAACGTAGAAACGGGTTTAAGCGTGAAAGTAATTGAGGAAGTGGATGAACAGACAAGCCGTTCGTGTTCATCGTGAAGCAGGAACGGTATATGTTTACCTCGCGGAAAATCGGCCTTTTTGCTCCGAGGAAAAGTCCTGGGCAACAAAAATCGAGCCACGCCACCTATCGCGTGGTGTTTAGGTTTCTATTTATCTGTGTACGCTAATGACGATCGATCTTTGTTTTATTTCGGTACGTCAGAATGAAAGATGGTACAGGTAATTATACTGCCCTATGACTGGTTCGTTTCGTATTGTTAATTATGATCGAGCAACGCGTTTGGCTAGCTGTGCCTTTCGACTGCAAAATTATCAATGAATTATTCGTGAATCTGAGAAGTTTGGAAGCAATGTGGAGTCTTAGCAAATCGGTGATTGCACCATCTGCCTTTAAATGTACACAATGTTTCCCAGTTTCCTAGAAAAGGAACTCTAGTACCTACTACTATACTGCTTATAGCCATATAGAGTAGTATAGAGAACTGTGCTATATATTTCGTATATAGTACACTACTGCTAGAGCAGTATGTATGGTGTATAGTGGTATGTCTCTAGAATATGCTGTGTTCTTAGTGTAGAGTAGATACTACTTCACTATACCTCTCTTAACAGTATAGAGTGGTAGAGCATTTATAGTACTAATACTAGCATAGAGAAGCTCTAAACTCAGTATATAGTAGTATAGTATTTGAGCTTTAGAGCATCTGACTGTACTATCTTTGTCTTCCAAAAGTATTTTCAAAGGCATTATAGCATGAAGAGGATCTGGAGCACTGTCCTCTCGAGCTTTTAATTGTCAGCTAACCGTTTAATAACTGTTCTCGGGTGATCAGTGATCCGTTACACGAGCAAAAACGACCAGAAAACGTCTTCAGAGCCCTGACGAAATTGCTAGATTACATGGAAAATGTTTGCAGAAGAATAGCTTCTATTCTAGATAGTGCAAAAGATATTAAAGATATCACCCACATTTACTCCAGTTTGTTTCTTACGTGGATCTTAAACAATGGATGTTTGGGGAATGTTTAACGATAATGTGTTCTGTTTGGTCCAGCCAGTGAGTGATGGCCCTGCGTTTGAGGAGCAGCAAGGATGTCAAGAAAAGCTCGTACTACGTTTGGTACTTGGGCGCGAGGGAGGCCAAAGGGGTGGACGCGATGCCCGGTGCCATAGCTTACCTGCTCGAGCGGGAACGACTTCAGGAGCCTTTCAAGGTCACGCTGCAGGTGAGCAGTACCATTACGAGATCCGGTTTCGTCGAGCGGCCGAAAATACCGCGAAAAAAGAGACAATTAATTGTCGCGGTCGGAAGGAAGGCGTGCGCGCGCGGTCACCTATTCGACGTGTTTCCTCCCACCCCTTTTGCTGCCACGGATGGCAGTGAAAGCAGTCCGCGGGTCGAATAAAGATCACGAATTTATGACCTCAGCCTACATACAAAAATCGCCAGGCCTCGACCCGCTGGCGGACGGTTATCAGCTTCCTCGAGAACGATCGTAAAATCGTCGCCCGAAAATGTCCCCAAACGAGGAAACTTTTCGAGGGGTCCTCGGATTAACGATCGCTCGATCCTCGAGGACGACCTCCCCGGACACCGAATTCGGGATATGCAAATTTCAGGACGATCAATGTGATGGCTAAATCTAGTGCGAAAATCCTTGTCGTCTGGAATCGATAGCGGAGGAATTTCGTTTCGGGAGACGGGCCCGTAATTTAGGCCTTAAGACTCCTTCTGCGTGGACGTACGAAGGATACGTGGAACTCGTTTTCTCGCTGCATTTGAGGTTAAGAATTTTTATAGCGCAATAACGGCTCATCCATTATCCCTTTGTGGACGGTCGTTCGTCTTGCATATACTAGACGATGCATTTCTATTATTTCGAACGCCAGGAAATTCTTTAGAAACCCGTCGTCGTAAAAGAACAACCGACCCAACGTTCCCCAACAGTGAAACACTGCTCCGGATGATTGGAAGCCACATAACCTATAATTTGTTGTAGTACTTATTTTTGTAACCTCGTCAATATTCATGAACGCAGAATTTATTGTCATTAACGATTAACCTTGAGAATTAATTCTTCGAGGGCCTCGCGAGGGAAATGTCGGCACTGAAAAACGTTTATAATAATGATAGACGACTAGTACAGACATATCTGTCCCGTTACTCGACCGAAGAAGAATAAATTAAAAGCTGTAAAGGATACAACAATAGAGATCTGATTAATGACCTGTTGCGTTCAACGGTTTTGCCTGTAATCATTTCTTATAACCGCCATTGTTCTAAAATCACAGTGACCCAATAAACGACGCGCGGAAACCACGTGCGCGCTGGCGGGAAATATTCGAATCGATCTCTTTTCAGAGAAATAAATCATCGACGTTAATTGCGTAATTCAAATACGATTTGTACGCGAAAATCAATTCGCCGCAGCGGGGTTAATAAGCGACACCAGCTCGCGTCAGGCTAATTAGATAACCGCAATAACAAATTCGTTGACCTGAATCTTACAGAAACGGGCACGCCGCTAATATATCCGGCGAGTTCGATATGGGAAAGAGAAAATAAAATGGATGACATCGAAATTGTCCCGCGACCGTTAAACCGGCATGTTGCTCGACATTCCCGTTGCATGTCAATTGAAATTTGCAAAGGGGGTTGCATGCCGGTTTAAAAACGCCTCATTACTCATGGTTCCAGCCGCACGAGGCAAATTGTCGACACGATATTCGCGTGCACGAAATTTGACGCCGGGGATACCGACGATCCTCCTGCATTTTCTTTTTATACTCTGGTTTTGGATCGATTACACTTGTAAATAATAACCTCGAAATTTACCAATACGTATTATTCGCACCGAATAGTCTGATAATATTATTTTTTAAATCAATTTCTTCGAAACGATTAGAAATGTAACCGCCATCTTGGTTTACTAGTGGCTACCACCTAACTCCTGGGTTACGTAAATTTGCCTGAAACGACACTTATCAATCAGAGTTTCTATTTCTCTTGGAGGTTACATAAACTTGTCTGAAGCGACACTTATCGATTCAAGTTTCTATTTCTCTTTTGAAGCCAATTACATCGATCCATTTCGAAACGTACCTGACACATTGGTTTAACACTGGCTACGACTCTTGGATTTTATGTTTAAAACTATGAGACACTGATTTTAATTGTCGAAATAGATTTAAAGGTTAGAACGAACGAGAAATGTATCTCACGTTGCGTTTCACGCGTTAAAAATCCTGTGAAAACAAAGGTGTCCTTATCATGGCGTCAGGATCTTTAATGGATGGGTTTCGAGGCGGATTTGGTCGACGTGCGCGTGCTTGGTTGTCTAAAAAAGGAAGAAAAAAACCTATTACGAAATCGAGAGACCCGCCTAATTATTGTGTAAGTGCAATTGCGAACGGAGCGGCGAGACGACGCGCGCTGCTCGCCTTGAGAATATTTTAGCACCCCGAATTTTCGCGAGCATCACAACATTAATGAACAGTCTCGCGGGAACGAAAATTGCGCGTCATTTTCTGCGGTCGGTTTCGTTGTAACCGCAGATGCGAGGACAGGTGGTCGTTTGTTCGTTCGTTTCGAGAATTTGCGCGATCGAGCCCGCAGATTTTGCAATTCCAACGCAACAACAATAATGCCCCACCATTTTTGTCGAGCCTCGTAAACCACACGGATCTCGAATAAAATTTGCAATTTCTTTCCTCCGATCTGAATTTTAATAAAAATTTCATCTTACTCGATATTTCGATTGAAAAACGAAAAGAGAAATTTCCGATGGTTGCTTTTGCTGCGGGTGAAATACGTGAGTCGAGTTGAGATGAAGATCCCAGGGGCCTCTACGATTCCTACATTTCGAAACTGCTAATAAAGAATCGGTATTTTTATTGGTTTCTTGGGAAAGTAGTCGTAGACTGCTCGTGTATTTTTCCTACTTTCTCTAGAGGAGATTTATACTTGACGTTCCTCTCGCGATACGTGAATTTAATGGCGCGAAATTTGATTTACAGATTTACCACAATTGATCAACTTTGTAATAAAATCGGTTTGCCAACTTAAAATTCTACCGTACAAGTAAAACTGTGTTTCACGTTGTACAGTTTCATTTTTTCTACTTTCTCTGAGGAAAATTTATACTTTGTATCTTTCTCTTCTCGTGACTGAACACATTAATGGCGCGAAATTTAAATTCCACGTGCGAAATTACTGTTTAAATATTGTGTTATTTTGTCCGATTGAAGATTAAGTTACATGATACATCATTTCCATTTTTTCTACTTTCTCTGGAGGAAAATTTTTACTAGACACGCTCCTCTTCTCGTGACTCGAGCATTCAGTGACACGAAAGTTGAATTACAGATTCGAAATTCCTCATTACAAATTGTAATTTTCCTTTATACACTGTGCTTTATTTTTTTCAAAGAATGAACCTGTTTTGCATCATGTTACTCTTACGATCATCGCGCTTCAAACATATCCGGTTTCTCGCCAAATTCCCAATCGATCCTCGTGTTACTCTTTTCCCTAAAACCGCGATCTTGAAACAGAGAAAGTTCTATATTTGTAATATCATGTTCACTTTCATCGTTCCGCTGTTATTATTTGCTTTCGAAAAGGAAATTATGTTTTTACACACTCCCATGCGGAATATAATACTGTTCTAGGGAAAGTCTTTCCACTATAATGATAAAACACCAGCATCGAAGTTCAATATGTTCGCTGATCTGTGAAACACACACCTCCCATCTATTTAAATTAACTCCCGACATTAAACTTTCAAGTTCCAATATTAAATCGGTCCTTGAGCTTGGCATTTAATTCGATGCAGTTTCGCGTAAAATATTGGTTCGTTGCTAGGTGAGCAACAAGGGGCTAAAGATCATACAAACCGTCCACCCGGGTGGCTCGACGAGGTCTGCTGTCAAGCATTTGGTACCAGGACACGCTGTGCTGGCGGCTGTGCAACGGGAAGACGTCGTCGCAGCGACTCTTCTGCTTCCAAATCCAGCCACCAACAATCCTGTTCACGTGCACGCATACAGGTCAGTACAAATAATAATCACTAACGCGAGAAGTCTGAATGTCAATATTTAATATTGGATAGTCGCCACTGGCAGTTACAGAGGTCTAACCCCAAGACCCCCTCTTTGGGATCTCCTAGATCCGTGACTGGACGTTACCGTGTATTTATTTTCTGAGTAAGGACACATCAATGACCTTGGAAGGTCTGGGTCAGGTATAAATTATCGTGGAGACCAGAAGAAGGCTGTCATTTCCGAGAAGTGGGAATTATCATAATAGCAGGTAATGGCTGGCCAAGGTGGGAAGTTGATCCCAGAACTAATCAGGCCTTGGAAGAACCGTCCTTTGCTTCTACGGAGAAGCTACCACTAGGTACAGGCTAGAACAGGAAGAACCATTTTTTGTTGCATAAAACATTGTTCCTTATCTCTGAGAACGACGGTTGAAACCAGTTCCAAAGTATCCATTTAATTCGAACAAAAATATCGAGGCGTCCCTCCGAAGTGCGACCAAACCTCCATGAGCATCGAGTATTACCATAAGACGATGCCACGAGTTTAATTACAGCGATGTAGGAACGTACCTGCGGCCTAACGATAGATACAAATACCAATTAATGGATAACTATCTACAAAGTGATTGCATCACAATTTTCTCAGCCATTCCGTGGCTGGCATCAAGACTGTTAATTTGCAGTTGCTACCTTGTTAACTTGACTAACTCCTCAACGATCCATTTTGTGTAATGTCATGAGCCGACGTGGCGCAAGACTAATGAAGCCTAAGTTTAAATTATGTTTTCCTAATCGTCTATTTTGTCCCAGGGGTGTTCCGCGTTTAATAATTATGGCTGTGCGTGAAACTGTCTTAGCACGTCGTATAGCAGCCATTGAACTTCTTTTCGAGGTAAATAATTCTACGTGAATTTTCACGACCCGCTCTTCTATTTATCAGCATGGTTGATAAAATTATGCGAACGTCTATTTAAAAGTTATAGAATTCAAGGATGTTTGATCAGACGAGTCACGATGACGATTTTGTGCAAATCATCTCAACGCGGAATTTTCTAAAAGGTTGCGTCTTAGTTTTAGGATAAACTCTGATATTCCAGATCTCAGCCATTATGGTGCACGCTTGGCTCGCTAATTAACGACCTCCGCGAGGGTAACGGGTTGTTAATAAATGTTCGTGAGCCGGCGTTCGCACATGCTAATGTCCCATTGGTGCGTGGATGTTACGCGGAGCGCGAGAACAACCTTGGCATTGAAAACAAACCGTATTTTCAATCCCGTATCCGATCCGTGAGAAGATCATCCGTTGCTTTTCCGTCGCGTAACCGCCGCGTTATACAATATGGCGTCGGATTCATGAATCGGCGATTTCGATCGGGAATCAGGTAAATGGCTCTCGCGCGAGGCCGCTTTTCGCGGCGCGTGATAGTTCGGTGACCGCGATTTCTTGCCGAGTTCGCGAAGAATAATAAAGGTCGTCGATTGCGAAACTCGACGATCAGAAAGCCATCCTTGCATTTCTAAACTGCCCCTTACGCAGCGGCAGATTTAGAACAGAATACATCACGAACGATACAATCTCCTAACGTTAACCAAATAATTTTGATTTATTACATTGGATGTCCACGGTTCGCGTGGATCGTTAAACATTGTCTCCTTGTTCGCGAATATGAAATACAAAATTGTGATACTAATAATGACAAATGATACACCTGGTTCTTGCAATAAGTTTCTGATCACCCAACTGCGATTGCAGTCAGGTATTACGTCTAGGAGAAATCAGCGAACCTACAATTTCAGTGGCGGTTGTTATTAACATTCCTACTTCGTCCAGCAACCCTTCTACAGCATGTACTCCTTTTGTTCCCTATTTGTCTTCGACATAGGCCAATAAGACTTTCATCAGACTTGCAACATTGACGACATTGTTTCTATCTAGGATACACTTGTTCTATTTAAGTACGTGGGACAGTCCTCGGGCAAAGATAAAGCAATTTCAGACGATATTTAGAGATCCATCCAAGGCTCGTTTCACCTTGGATCCGACTTCTTTGACTTCAGATGCGACTCGGTCGAGACAGCCGAATTGTTGGGCGGCCAGTTGAAAGCACTGGCGTCGCACACCGACAATTTGGCCAGGGTCACCTCGTTGGAAAGAGTTCGCAGTAATTTAGGCAGCGACGGCAGGAGCACCAGGGAGTCCGAGTCATCGGAGGGTAGCGGTGAACTCAGACACGATCCCGTGCAGACGACCACGATATACGAGTCACTGGCTGCGGAGCTGCGCGCCAAACTGGGTAAATATTTATTCTATAAACATTTTCTGGACATTTTCGATCGATATCGGGGACCGAAAGACTGTGGAATCTAAAATTCGAGGGTAAATATGGACTCTAGTACGAGTACAGTAACAAGACTTAAGTAGGAATACCTGCACAAGAACAAGTACAATAACAAGTACAAAATACCAATGCAAGATCAAGTGCAGATAGGAATACCACTACAAGAACAAGGGGGAATATCGATCCAAGTACAAATGTGGATAAAAATAAGAGAGAAGATGTCGCTGGAAGGGTGGTAAGTAAAAGATATGCTTCCTGTTCTTTCAGGCAGAGGGAATTCAGGGGACAACGACGTTGGGCCAATCCTCCTGCCTCCACGGGATTACGATACCGTCCACAGACACCGTGGTAATCTCGCTGGCATCGAGTTCAGGCGTTGCTTGAACCAAACGATCGTAGGTGGTAGTATCACGGTTGACAGAGGCGGCACAAGAAGCGCTGCCAGCAGCGGAATAGGCTCGGACAGCGCCGCTACGCCCCCGCCTTATCAGAGCCATCATCCTTTGGGCCCGAGACCGTCTAGACCTTCCAGAGATTCATCCTCGGGTAAGTGGATTACTCTGACCTTCCATCGAACTCTAATACTCCCATTTGCAAACTGTTTTGCATCTGATTTTGTTCAAAATTTAACCGGATCCTGAACCGAAAATATCAGGCACAACTATAAAGTTTCATTGAACTCTATTTACCCGTTTCGATGCAACTTTTTTTTTATTTTGGCACATGGGACTGCTTCTACAAATGTCTGACACGTGTCGAAAACGCTGCGTACAACGATAGTGAGTCACAGGCTGGTCAGGAATTTATTCAGATCCGTCGAAAGTTCGGGACACTTTTTTTGGTACAGCGAAATTCATGAAAATGATGTCGTCACGTACGAGACGCAGAAAGAATTTTATAACAAAATACCGCGTTCAAAACCACGAAGCGTCCGAGAATTACGACACCGCAGAGGCGTGTAACGTTGGCGGTGATTCGATAGTCATGCCGAGCAAGTGTGAAATTTATTGTGAATGAGCAGCGCGAGTGAACGCAGAATTCACCGTGACTGCGATGCAAATGACGTTCAACGCCTCGAATTTGCACGCCGCGGGCATTATTGGCATTACTGCTATTATGTCAATCCGCGCTAGAACATACCACGAAGAATCACTCTTCGTTTCTTGCTTGTCAGTAAAATGAATTATGCATGATAATATTCATTTAGCATATACCAGGCAACGATCGACCAACGAATTTATCTTTCAGAAATTAATCGGCCATCAAAGAAAGAATGGGATAATCCTGTTTTGACTATTCATAATCAGCCGTAAAAGTTTATGTATGTCAGACAAATTTGCAGCATCATAGAAAACGTTTCGTCAATAGCATGCATAGGCATTCAATTCTTCGGAAAGCATAAAGTTATAAATCCTCGGAAAAACGATGTCATGTCGAATAATTTCCACGAAGGAATTATTCTTGAATGATTGACTATAATTACCTGCGTGAGATGAGTGTATGTAGGTTTGTATGACTAGTTAGCCCTGTTGATTAAATGTACGTTGATTGGTCTGTAGATTCGTAAGCCTGACTAGAGGCTCTAACCACTTTAGAGGGGATTTTGTACTATACTTGACTGACTAGAGCTCTAGCCACTTTAGAGGTGACTATCTACTATACTTTGCATGCCTGACTAGAGTTACCTTGACCAACTATAATTAGGCATGTTAAATTAGAGTACAGTGACTTGCATGCCCGACTATAGTTAGCCACATTAGTTTACCGAAAGTTGCCGTTGTCATTGGCTATAGTTAGCCTATGTACCGACTATAGATAGAGTGATTACAGTTATTGCAGCCTCGAATAGCTCCCAGAATATTGTACGTTGAAGGTTATACTTCATTCTTTGCATAATCCTTCACCCAAAGAAAATGCGTCGAGCAACGTCGAGAACTGGTCTCGGGAGAAGGATTGTCGCGCGTCGTTAATTGCCCCGTGGAAAGCGGACCCGGTATTTTCCTAGGAAATTAGGCGATGTGCTTGAACGCGCCATTGCGCCGGCAAAGCGTTCGCAACGGCGGATGCTGAACGAAAGTGAAAGTCCTTCTTTTCCTGATCCCACTCAGGAAACGATCCTGCGTCCCGCAATAATTCTCTCTAGCGAAACAGATGAAGCGTGGAAGGTTGCAGTTTCCGCGCGGGAACCAGTCGGAATTTTATCGCTGTACGTGGGGTCGTCATCTGTAGGAAGTACACGATTTGAGTCCAATGTACAGCTAGTCAACCGTATGATAAATTACAGGAGAAGATCCAAGATAAACAGCAGCTGGCAATGGAAATGAATGGGTATCGGTAGCGAGCGTCGATGGACATATTGCTGACACCTAAACTTTAAGGATTGGGTGTTTTGTTAGAGGTGAGGCAGAAGGGAAGCGAGTAATATCATGAATGAATGCAAGAATAACTGGAAGCTGGTACAGAACTGAAAATAGATGAAGATGTACCGGCACTGGAGGTAGTTTTTTCAACTTCCTGGAGAACTTGTTCAAAGTGTTACAAGCGATACGTCGCTGTAAGAAGAGCTAATGACTTGTATAACACAAGGCAGTAAACTCTATGTTATCTGTGACCTGACAACAGACCTATGTACAGCGAGGAATTGTTAAGAATGCCACTGAGCGATCACGATGCTCGAGAAACCTGTATTTTCGCCCATACGTTGTGCTTCCATTACAGAAGCGATCGAATCTGAATTCTACCAACTGCTCGATACAGTCAACTGTATTTCCTTATCGAGGGAGGCGAAGTCTGGCCAACTTCCGCGATCTTTGGCGATTCTCAGTGTGTCGGAGGTTTGGAAACATCGCGTTCGATCGTTGCACAACCCGGTGAATGCAAATGAGAGAGAACAGGAACGTTCCAACTATTTGGTACGACGCTCGGCTTTCCCGTTTCCAAAATTGCGAACTTTCTCCGGTCGGGGACCGCCGTTTAACGATTCGACGGAGACCCGGGGCACCGAGATACGTCGACGAAACGCGCCCACGGTGAATAATCACCGAACGATCGAAGTGAAAGTAGACGAACGTGTTTGTTATTAGACCGACGCGAACTCGAACGCGTTCGGCGCGTTTTGCATTCAGCGCGGAGAAAGAAAAATCGAAGACGTCTCGCGACGAAGAAACGATTTTTCGTTTGGCCGCGTCGAAACTGGGTTACGGGGTCGCCTTCTGCCCGGTTTTCTACGAGCCCCGATAAGATTCGTGGCGGTACACGCGGCCACCTGTCCGACCGGTAGAAAGCGTCCAAATTTTTGCTTCCTCTTCGACGCGCCTGCAGAGTTTTCCAACAAGAGCGATTAAAAAATTTAACACGATCGATCAATGACAATTACTCGATCAACAAAAACGCGTGATACCGTTAGAAATAAATATTTTACGGTTCGATCAGAGGGGGGGAAAAAATACCGGAATCTAGTTCTCGGGAATGTTAAAAAAGAAACTCGCGCGTGCAGCCAAGAGGTTCCGTAGAGCGGTAAATTTTTCCTGTCGTTGAAGAAGAAACGAAACATTTTGCCTCTCCACGCTCGAACGGCGTCTCCTCCTCCTCCCCGGCCTTCTGGGTAATGTCCAGTCGTCGATGAAACAAGATTAAAGAGAAGGCAAACGTGGTCGCGTCAGATTGAAACTTCAAAGTCAGGCTGCGCCGCGTCTCTTCTCGGGGCGTGCCTTCCTCTCGCAGAACACGTTTTTAACGGACGACTGACCCATATAACGTAAACGAATAAATTTCGAGAAGAGGGAAAAAAGAGTATTCTCTCATATCCGCGCGTATGGCCGACGAAGACCCGACTCCGGCGTTAACTACGTACAAGGAGAGATTGTATTGGGCACCTGTTACAGTGGAAGGAATACCGTTAGGACGTCGCGTCAGCGGCAGGTACCAGCCTACGGGCATACACATATATCTTACTGGCCCCACGGTTGTACCAGCAGGTAAAAATCCAGCTGCTTTGACACCGGGGACCGATGTTGATCCGCGCTACTGGAATTCGTGCCCAACGTTTGGCTCAGCGAGCTCTTGTCAGGCTAATTCGCTATCTGTAGTCCCAGATTGGCTAGACATCTGGCGGAACTGGAACGTGGAAAGTTCAGTGACTGCAATTTTTTCGACTTTATTTGCAGTTATTACCAGCGACAGAGAGTGCTTGCTGGATCAAATTGTACCAACGTCTCTTGGTTTAGATAGGCACCCCTAATATCGAGGAGACGTCGACTCAACGTCTGACACAACTAGGTCGTTAAAAGTTACACTATATTTAATCGTGTCTTTGGATCCAACGCTAGAGTCTGCTAGACCCTGGTACGATGCATCGAAGCTGGACTCTAATATAGTAATTTGTTCCACAACAGTATCCCCAACGCGAAGGAGATATAAAGCAAGATAGGATAGACATATTACACTCATTCGTTGGGTGCTCATAGCAATCGTGTCAACGCTTACAGAGTCTGTTGGACTAATGCGGTGACTCTGTCACGGAAGTTATCGACCGGAGGTCTAACAGGATTGGAACATTGAAAGCTCTGTCACTGTAACGTTTGTCTTTTTCTTTGTCAAATGATACATGCCCCGTTGCAGAGAATTTGCATATGCATTACGAGCCGAACACGTCCAACAGGTCGGTTATTTCACAAAACTGACTGCACGCTGAAAATTATGGGTGAAAATCCGTGCGTTTGTGCCTGTTGCGCGAAACCGCGGAGGTTCAACGACTGTTTCCTTATCTGATGCAATTAAACCGCGAGTGGATTAAGAGTTATCCTGCAGATTTACGACCTTAACGTCAACATGCATCATGTTCCGCGTCCGGATATTTTCTAGCCAAACGTGCTACTGACCGACTAAGGCTACTTTTCCCCGGCACGAAAATCGAAGCATACATTTCCATTCATTTTTGTACGCGAGCCATTCGTGTCACGATGCATAGACTTCAAACCGAAGTCCTTAATCTTTGCAACATAACCGTTTCATCTAATAGTTTTGATTATGAACGATAAAATAGTACACGGGAGTAGTCAAACAAGTTCACGCACAATTGCATCCACTCAATAATGCAAACTTTAATAGAAATACTGTCTATTTTGAGACTTGGAACAAGAAAAACGTGTTCAAACCGAGGTCAAACATGGTCGAACGAAGACTTGACAACGGAAACTGTGTCGAGAGCACTCACTGAACATAATTTGGGAGCCCCAAGAAGAATTCCTGTCCTCGTACATGGAAGAGGGAGAGGCGATCTGTAGCACAGTGTACCCTAGCAGAGTCAGACATGTCCGAACAAAATCGTGGCGCTCGCGACGTTATATCATTCGTCTTTTACGGACCACGGAAGAACCCGTTTTGCAACAGGTGTCTCGGGGACACGATGCACCGCGGTGATCACGATTTCCACGTTCGTATCTCCATATAAGCGCCGCTTCTCGGGCCCTCCTCCTCGCGTAGACTGCGATCTGGCACACTTTGCCCGCGTCGGGCTCACGATTTGCGTATGTATCGGTGCCCCGCGCCGGCGATACATCGCGTGAAACTATCCTGAGCTTCCCAGATTCCGAACGGCGATTAGCCCAACGCCGATTAATTTATCATCGCGTTGAGTAACTGCTTTACCACGGACGTGTTGCTCCGTTTCTTTGATCCGGGGCACCATCGACTCCCGCGAGATTCGACTGAAAGTTGAGTCGCGTGTATCTGGGCTCCGACATTTTTACACAGCTTCCCATGAATCTGGAAAACTTCCTTGGGAACTGTTTCTAGGAGTCAACTCGAGTTTGCCCGATATTCGAAAGCGTTTGATTAGGTCTGATGCACCACAACTATGGGGGTTTTGGACAGGATGCGATGTCATCGTTATTCGTGTCATAAATGGACGAGTATGGGAGATCCGTCAGCCTCTAGTTGGCGTAAGGACGTTCTCTCTTGGGCCACTCTTACTGCTAGAGTCTAATGCAATTCTCCCAGAGACGTGACCCCATCCATCTTCTGTCAGTTGCAAACCACCTCTTGCAATCTAACCAAGTACCAAGAACCTTACTACCTATTCAATATTAATTGTTCAGCGCTGTAGTACCTAGGAGTACCTAGACTAAACAAGTCTATAACCTCCTGGTCCGAATAGACCGTGAAGGTATTCTATCCCCTAGTTTCATCACTACCAGAAGGGGAGGGTATTCCTCTCATTGTTGTCCGAGTCAAAAGGAAGGGTTTTGAGAGATTCACTCGATCCTAGCATGTGCAATGATTGTAAGAATGTTTCCCTGGGGCTCTTACTGTCAGTCTAATGCAACTCTCCCAGGGACGTGACACTTTCCATCTTCTGTCATTAATTGTAGTTTTGCGTGCTAACGCTTGGAGTTCCACGACTGGAGGCTTACAACTTCTTCAACCAAAGATCACCAACACCTCCAGGTGTTGTTAGACTCGGAACATCTAATCGTAGAAGATTAGGTACACGAGCACTCCTTTTGCGCCAATTTCTCTCAAGATGGGACTCAGTTTTCAGTGTTCTACAGGTACCAGGTATCCCAGTACCTATTCGACTGCATAATGTGGGGCTTAAAAATCAGTCGTACCCTCTTATCTGACAATGCACCGCCTTCGGTAATACCAGCCACCTCCCAGAAGCGGCGAACATCGACGTTGCATTACCGTCGGCGATGATATTAAGAAGATCCCAGGCTCTTTGCCTTTTAACTTTTACCTAGCGCGGCAATAGCATTCCGTCCCCCTCCCGTGCGACGCTCCACGTTCGCGATTATTGCGCAAAGGAGCACTCGAAAGGCGCATTTCCATGCGGGAGTGCTCGAGAGCGCGCGCGAAACCGCCCGTTCCCGGCGACGATAATAACTATGATCGCAATGGTAATCACTGGACTGGGTAATGATGATGACGACGACGAGGACACCGACGCCAGCAGGCCACGATACACCTGAATTCGTGTGCAAATCGACCTCGCGGGAGGTCATAAGGGAACAAAGTTCCGCATTCTCGGCCCATAGCCTCGGGGCTCCTCTTAGCCTCTTCGTGTCTCTTTGAGCCTCCTCTCCCTCTTCGTTTCCAGCTTCTTTTCAAACCTCCCTGACCTCTTCCCCTGGAGACGCACAGTATTCGACCGGTCTTCTCGCCGCCGCGGCAGGTTGCTTGATAAAAGAGAAATTGTGGCTTTTACCTTGGAGACTCTTGCTATTTTTCTCAGCCCCTCTCGATCGCGGTTACTACGTTGGACTCGCCTAAGCTTATTGCCTTTGCCCAACAACATGGATACTTTTTACCGTAACGCTGGTCTTTTATGGGCTTTTACACTCTTCTTACGATGGGTGATTTTGTCACAGGCTGGAGATACTCTTCAAATATATTATTTTCAGGTGTAACCTATTATTGAATGCCACTTGTATGTTCCAACCTCAACCCCAGCTATTATAATAACATTCTCCACTCTGTTTAAAGATCATTCGAATCCTCGTGCTCATCGGGAAACCTAAATACCGATCACTGTCCGTTTCAGACGACGACTGGGGTGCGCCGACAGACGAGAATGACTATCTCCCGGAGCCAGAGACAACGGCGACCAGTTTAACGCTGCCACGGTTGCCGAGAAGCCCAGAACGGTTGCCCAGCCAGGTGATCAGAGGCGTATCGCCGAGTTGCAACAGAAGCCGCAGGGCCCCAGAATTCAGACAACGGTCACCGAGCCCCCAATACCAGCCCAGAATGAGCCCCGGCGAGGTGACCAGCCCCAGGGAGAGATTCCAGGATGCGAAGGAAATGTTTCGAGCCATGGAGAGAGAAGCAATCGCCAGACCTGTCCTTTCGAGGCAGAGAGAAGTTGAAAATCATCTCGTTCATAGGTACAGCGCAAATATTTGCATTAGCGTACGATTTATTTTTTTACCATCGCTGGTCCTTGAGCTTGTCAAGACGTGGATGGACAGGACAAATTCGGTTTCAATAAAAATTACTTCGAAGCTATTAAAAGAATCCCTTCGATTTTTAAACGACCGCCACCTTGTTGGATGGCCAACAAGAAACCGGACTACACTTTCGATCCCTGTCGATTCGAGCCGGCTTTCAATCCCAGAAGAGAGTCCCGCGACCAAACGGCGACCTTAACGACCACGACAGATTCGTTTTCTAATCCAGAAAAAGCCCGGCCACCTTGTAAGAAACAACGATTCGACCGCTTCATTTTCTCTCAACCAGACAGACTAGTTTTAAGAGGCCGCGTATTATCCGCGCCTTCGGTTTTTCTCCGGTTGGCATTCGTTTTGGGTCGGCAATCACGGGTGTCAATCTCGAGTAAAAGCTGTTTAGCCGAGTGGAGAGCGACTCGGGCGTACACCGACTCTGATTTCAGCGGCAGTGCATACAGAGTGGACCAGTTAAATAGGAACACCTTGATACGTATGTGAAAAATACTGCTTACGTCTTACAGGGGCATCACCAATTTTCACATCACTAGCACTTTGATAGAATCGTTAACGTATTGCTACGTATTACTAGTCAAACGTAGCAATTTTGGTGTAATTTCACATCACTGGTACAACGGTAGAACGTAATGAATAAAGATTCACGAGGCATTACGAGATTGGAATGAGGTAGGCGAGAACAAAGGATCAGTTCAATGAGATGGAACTGTGACGTATTGTTCATAAAGAACCGGTAATCAGTGGAAGATAATATAAGAGGATAATATAAGATCGTAGCGACAAATTATACGGAATGTCACGGTTAATTGAATTCTTTCTCGAATGCGACAGGGTTGAGTCGGCCAGGCAGGCGGACGAGGATCAACCGGCTCGGCAGCATCCAGCGAGCAACAGTTCAACGACTGCCCACGAACACCTGATCAGACGAAATCATTCGGAAGTATCGGAACGAGAGAACGATATTTCTTATAGAGCCAGGCCGCGGCCACGAACCCATCATTATGCGATGGAACGCCCACCGGAGCAAGAGGTCTCGAGGCCCCGGCCGAGGAGCTTCTACGAAAACCCAGCGGTTGGACGAGACATCCGAGATCAAAGGAACGTCGTTGATCCGAGAGAAGTAAGGGTCATTGATTCCTCGTTTCTCTGTTCCAGCGTTCTTCAAGGTCCTTTGTATCGAAAATCTTCGGGGAGAACTTCTAAGACGTCGTTGTTAGGGGTACAACACATTCCTCTTGGGCCCTAAAGCTCGCCATTTTGTCATGCTCCGAACTTTACCCTCAAGTTCTGCATCCGGTTCTCTGGCAGTCTCTGAACATCGAGATTCAATGTTTACACAGAGTGTTCAGGAATTGCATGGGGTTCCAAGAGCCCTGTTTACTTTGACAGAGGCGTAAAAACGCTTAGAATTTCTCTCGGTCCGTCCAGTTTCCTAGTACGAATGTACACTTTCTGTAGGCGCGCTTTCACAGCGAAACGCTAATTGCTTGTCGCCGCGCTACAAAGAAGGGTGTGTCTAGTAGTTTTTTATTGGCATTTGCTACTCTATTGTGCGTCCGCGAGTTCCCTGGTACTCGTCTACACATTGTTGCGACAGGCTGTCATCGCTCGAATCTCCACCTTGCAAGGCGTGACCAACGAACGCACGTCGAACGTCCTCAACATTCATCCGTGAAAAGATGCACTTTCATGCAAGAAATTTACCTTTATCAAGATGGTGTACTACTGGAGTCACGTACCACTACGTTACGTAGGACTAACGTAGGTTCACGTACTACTACGTTACTTACTACTAGGCCACTTTGTTAATGGGTTCCGTATCAATACGTTAGTATATTGCTGAATTACACAATACTACGTTAACGTAGCGAAACATAAATATATTGCTGCAGCACACCGCGTAAACGTATTGCTACGACACGTACTACTACGTGAACACACAGCCTACGTGACGCGACACTGCATTTTGTATTAATGCAGCGGAGTCCTTGCTATAAAAATACTCGATATGAAGGTATCGGTTGTGGGCTTCGTGAGGAAGGAGCTAAAGTAGTAAATCAACGATCGTCGAAGTGTTAAAGCCCTCTGCAAACGCCTGTTAGCACGCGACTCACGTTCAAACGTTTTCTGTCAACAGATCCGGGACTTCCGAGACCGAGCGCACGTGCGGGAGATACGCGAAAAGGTGAGGGCCAGGGCGACGACTTACCAGGAGCTGTCCGAGCACGAACGGTACCCTGGACTGGATCGCGACAGCGCCAGGCCACCCCTGGAAATCGTGCCCACGCCGGGCAGATACCGGCACAGCTACGCCGAGCCACCGAGACTCGGTCTGGCGGCGTTGCATCCCTACTGAGACCGCCAGCACGTTGTTAACTAATAAATTATTTAATTAATCGACGTATCGTTAGCGTATTACTCGACTGTCGCGGCTGGTCGGCGTCCACGACGATATCGAATGGACTCCTAGTTTCTGAACACGAGGGTCGATCGAACAAGTGGCCCCAGAACGCTTACCCTCTATTGATGTAGTCCTTTGACATTTTGAAACGAGTCTACTTGCCCCCAGTGATTCGTCAGGGTCTTCTATTCACTGTGAAAGAAGGTTTCTTGGTCAACAGTGAATCTAGAATGACTTGAATAGCTAGATACAGCCAGTATAGTAGTGTATACTCGGTGGGAGGAATTGTTGAGGTACTAGAGGCATACTCGAGTGGTATACGTATGCGATACCCTGCAGTGTACAAAGTGCCAAATTACCCTATTCATTAGTGGACAGCACAGGTCTGACGTGCCTATCCAATTCGGGCATTCAAGTCTCATTGTGCTAGTTAGCTCCTACTCTATGACCTCGATATATTGTTTCCATATAGTGTACTCACTCCACTGCAACACTAAGTACTATAAACTTCTATACTAAACAGCTCTTCAAATCTAAGGTAGTTTTCAGACTGGTTCATGGCAATTAGAGGCCATCACGTCTTCGGATAAATCGTTATTAATGTCACGAGATAGCGATCCAAGGAAAAAGGCTTCCATTTTTTACATAAAATCTGATAGAAGAAGGTTATCTTCATGGTCAACTCGATTCCTTGAAACGACATGCTACTCAGTGGTGTTTCTGCGAGTGCAAAATAAACGAATTCGATGATACATGGTGGCAGATTATTTAAGGTCGAGCGAGATCAGAAATAGAACATTCCGGTGCTGTTGACACTGCGGTATTATTCTACGAACATTCCAAATATGATTTTTCCTGTTTCACGTGACGCATCCAAGGCTCGCGTTCGCCTCGCCCTCGTAAGTTCAAGGAAGAACGCGCATTTTTGCATACGATATCGTCAAGGATGCTGTGCTCGACCGTAGACGAACGGAAATTAAAATTTATTATCCTTCTTGTATTTACGAGCCCGTGGACCAAGATCCTCCTAGCTGAGGATCATTTGTTGATTCTTGAACGCGACTCCGTGCACTATATTGTTATGCGCCGGATGCCAGACTAACGATAACGATAGGAATAATAAACAGCAATAACATTGACAGTAACGGTAACAATAATAACGGTTGATAACAATAAACTTTGTCGTTGTTTCTGTTCACCCCCTGTATTCACCCATTTTATTACGAAGATTTTAATTTAACCTTGGAAGTTAACTTAATGTTAAATGTTTGGATTGTAAACTTGCGTTCGGGGGATAGTGAATTTTTTTTTTCGTTTCGAAATTCACGAATGTATAGTTGGTTGGTCCAGCCGGTGCGTTAAACGCCTGAGAGGCGTTCCATTCCTATGATCCACACATGCTACATTCAAATTTACGCACGGAGTGTGGAAACTCAAGGAAACTCAAGGAATTTTGCAAGATTTGCGGAAGTATTATTATCGTTACATCAGGCCAAACCACTTACTATTTATCTCGAGCATTATTTAATGAATTCATGAATGTATGAATAATCAAGAAATAATTTTCTCCTGTTAGATAAAATAGAATTTATGTAATAGAGAGTTAATAAGGTGTCGAAGTAAGAATTTAGCACAATCAAAGCACATTTTATCAAAATACTCGACGAAGAAATTGTTTATGAATGCGTGTCACGATCCGTAAGAGAAAACCACGGGTTTTCAAATATATGTTCTATGTAAATTCCACAGTACCGTGGAATAAATGTTTCATGGAGAAACAAAGTGCATAATACGAGCTGCATGTTCGTCGGATGTATTCTGTTTCCCTTTGTCTTTTTACTGTCTTTTGTTACATCTTCACCGGCGTACAACTTTCTCTGGCAAAAGAAGTGGCAAAATTTATATGCATTTACATTCTGTGCATTAATTATGAAAGGCGGATCGATCGGTTCAGAAAAAGTATGCTCGATTTTCTCGATCGACGGTTCAGTTGTTCAACTATTTTGGTCTTTTTATTTCAATTTACGCTCTGATAGAGGAAAGAGGCGTGAAGCGTTCAGTTTAATCCTTGACGAGCTCGTCTATTCATTAGAACTAAAACAAAACGATGTATTTAATCAATTACACGTTTTCTATAAAATGTTTATTACATTAATCGTCTGGTTATCTCTATTAATGCATTTCATTTAATTTATCTGAGACATCGAACGCGTAAAAGATTGCAATTCTTTAATTTAAAGCAATGACTTTTAAAATGATTCTCATTTGACTTGGCCATCTTAATAATATGAATTTTCTTCGATAATCATTCAGGGTGTTGCACTTGGTACATTAAATTTTTATATAAAAACTATTTATAGCTCGTACAGTTAATAAATTACGACCTCGAGATTTATTCCAAAGATGTGCGTCCCGATAATAAAATCACACTGAAATATTTATTACTTCGAATTTTACATCCAACTTGATTCGATCATTAATTTACACGCGCGAAAGAATGTTTTCTCGCTTCGAGTACACGTCAATTCATTAGCACCGTTTCGAACGGCTCGAAAATTTCTCTGATAAGCTGCTGGCACACGTCAAGGTGGATCACGTACAGTGGCTCGTTAAATTGCTTTCATGGTTAACGGAGCAGGAAGTGGCCGGTTTGCATTGTTACAGTGTCTATAGTTGTTGCACGAATAACAAATGAATAGAAAGTCTTTCGTGCAGCGGAGCAAATAAATCTTGAATCCGTTCGTTCTGTTTTTTTTTTCCATTTTTTCCCACTTTTTTCTTGCTCGATCGAACGTCTTAATTCGTTGCTATACACAGTCTCCAGAAATTAAAAGATCTCTGCATTATTTTCTTTTCGCAAACGAGAAAATAGCACGGTTCAAGATCGATACCATTCTCATTAAACAGCTCGAGTTCAGAATTTTGATTTATAACGTCACTTGCTATCAAATAATTTTAAAAACGCGACAGGTTTGCAGTTGAATGCAAGCTGCCACAGAAACCCTTTCGAAATACGCAAATCCACAGGTACAAACACAGCTGTCGCGACCATAAGCAACCACCAACTTGGACCATAGTCGCGTTCACCGCAGAAGCGATATCCATTTACCCCTCGATTTCTAATGCATCTCGGTTGGCCTGTGGTTTTCCTCGTTTCTCGGGGACGGAAGAATTTCGCAAGAAATCGTTACGTAACGCGTTGCGAGTCTAGGATCGTTCCTTGACCCGAAAATTCTGAGTTTGACGACGTTTGAACATGTGTGAAGTAACACTTGGACTTAAAATTCTTTAATTTACCACTTTTTCGGCACGATTGGGGGTGTTTTATTCATTGAAAATGATGTTTAAAATCTTGAGAGGTTCGTAACAAAATTTCTGTAAATTATGCCATGAGCCATACAAGAACAAGAATGTTCTTAATGGTAGCAAGAGGTTAGAAAGGTTAAGAATTAGTACATATAACTCAAAGAATTCCGATTCGTTTCCTGGGAGCTGAATCCAAGGTGGGAAGCTTGAAAAGCCAATTGATTCGAACAATAAGATGACCTTTTGGGCGGTTCTCATACACCTTGGAGCACGCAGCGTGCAGGATCGACGCTGAAAAAGTGCATGAGTCAGGACAATTCAGAAAAGTCCTTTCCGTGTTGCTTTTGTCTCGTGTGAACTAATTTTATCCCAGGCTGAAGCCGAAGATCGATTTATATTATTAAAACTTTGATATGCCACGACTATAATTACAAAAGGGCGTTAAAATCGAAGAGGTACAGTTGGGATCTTTCCCTTGGGAGAGCCAAGTATTTCAGAGTCCCTAGATCCAAATCACCAACGCTCTAAGACACACTTTAATCTCGAAAACAGTGAAGAAGTCGCACGAGTATCCAATAAACTCTGCTGTTTATGTCCCAACGGTTTATGGGGGGCCTCGGTTTACAGTCGAAGATACAATTCTGTTTTTCTTTTGGTAAAAAAAGTTTCGAAAGATTCTCGAAAGGAAGTAGTCATCGTCCCCCCCTTCGACGAAACCAGCAATCACGTGGAACGGTTGGTTTATCCGCGAATCGGTCGTGTACCGGGTGACCGTTAGCACGGAGACACGGGGAACGGTACCGTGAAACGGGGGTCTGGTCGTCGCTCGTAATAAAATTCGCACGGCCGAGTCTAATGCGATTCAGAAATTTGATTACCGTTGCGAGCGGTCACGGTAACGCATTCTCGAGCGACACCTTGGCCTTGAGGTGGCACGAAGAAAAAGAAACCGTTTGACACCGTAAGAATGCGAAGAAAGAACGACAGAACTTGACCCTGAAACCATCCGCGGAAAGTGTGAAGCTTGTGTTTGCGACGAGCACCGTGGTGGACAAAGAAACGACCGCCCGATTCTAGCTGGAACAAAGCGCATACACGCGACCGCAGCTGCAGTTTGCAGGTGCCTTGTTGCATTTATGGAAAACGCGAGGTCGTAGGAAGATGGACTTTGTTGCGTTCCTCAACTTTGCCCTCTGCCTTCTTTCTGCACACTGAACGGAACAGGACGTACTACCCACACTGAGCGCGTGACGCATACTGAGTGACACATCGCCTTTGAGGAGGCACACTGCAATTGCACTTTACGGATGCACTAGGGTATATATAAAAAAAGTGAGGTCGTAGGTAGTTGAAGACTGATGTGCCACTCGACTTTTGTATCCACAATTTTTTTGTAGCCTCAACGGAACAAGACGAATGACCCACCTCAATTGGGCGCCATGCCCCAAATGACATATTGACTTTAAGAGTAAATAGGGCACATTACTCTTACTCTTTGCAGTTGTACTATTGTATCCACGATAAAACTGAGGTCCTAGGAAGATAGTCCTTATTGAAAAGTTCAACTTTTGCCTGCAGCATTTTTCTATATCTTTAATGGAGCAGGAAGAAGGGGCACCGATCTCTGGGCTTTTCGAGGGATAATTCAA